CAGCGAAGCTATAAGCATCTCTGGGGAGTAGTTTAAGCCTGTCTTCGACATCATCACTAGGTCGAAGATTCCCATTTCCTTCCAGACTGGAGTTTGATGTTTCTCCAACTTTGTTAGCCAAGCAACATAGTCGGAGGTCAGATTAGGGCAAGACCTGAAGACCCTAACACTTCTGTTGAAGAAGCGGAGGTCGATTTTTTCGCGTGTAGGGTCTTCGTTGTCTTCTGCGTCCTTCTTGGCGCATGCTACTGGCTTGAGTTTCTCGACGATTGGGAAATAGCTCTTGATCTTCAGAGCTTCAGAGATGCTAGGATTCATGGGGCCAGACATTGCGAAGATCTGGTTGGAGTATCCAACCGGGATCATCAAGTGGCGCGAGTAAGCATCGCGAACGGAGATGTCAGAAGGTTCAGGAACCCTTCGTTTCCCTGTAGAGTTTACTACCGGAGCAGTGACGAAGACCTTGGGTTTAACATGTTGTTCAGTTGGTGCGTTAGCCTTGGGGGCAGTAGAAGCAGAGGCCATTGTTGAGGATGAAGATGAAGTGAAAGAGGAAGAGTTTTCTGCAAAGATAGCAAATTTATGTGAAAGCAAGGAAGTTTGAAGGCTAGTGAGCGTAAAAAGTCCCACAATGGGATATTCACTACTATTTATAGTAGTGGGAGAAATTCCCAATAACGAGGACATTAAATGTCATTTAATGCTGCAGGAATTAGTGGGACGCGTGGCAGCATCCTGTTGTTTTGGCCGTTTCTGCAGAAACAGAGGGACGCAGCGTGCGTCCTCGTTTTTGGGATTTGTCATAATGACAAATTCTGAAGTGACGTTTGATACTGCACGCCGTACTGAAAGTGACGTCCTAGGATCAAATCAATGATGGTTTCTTGGGATTGCTAATAGTTGGTAAAAAGCAACAAAAAGTGCACAAGTTAACTTGTGACTAAGCGTGGAAAGACAGGTGTCGAATGGCGTTTTCAAAGAATGCCTTTTTCTTTCAGAGTCGAAATAAGGCATTCTTGGGGGGCAATTTGTTGGCTCCTAAATTCGACACCTTTGTTTTGATTGGTGTCAGCCATTAAAAGCTGAAAGATGCTTTCGACTGGCTAAGCCTGTCGAAGTGCCCGTCGAAAGATGGCAAAATACTTAGAAGATTTCTTCCAAGGAAGAAGGCTGGTTGCCTTCGACGTCGAAGGAGTTTTCGTCGAAAACGTCTCTTGACGAAAGTGTTCGATGGTCCAGAGTGGAGCAGTTTGAAATTCAAAGCTTTGGAGGGAAAAATGGTTTCCAGCAGTTACTACGTGCAAACGTGCAAGGATCTGGAGCGTCGAGCATGGAGAACGTGCCAAGTGGATTGATCTCGAAGCAGTGTAACTGCCAGACGGTTACTTGGAATGTTTTAGTATAAATAAGAGTAGATATGTAGTTTCTCGCAGGTGTTCACAAATATATACATAGTCACTCATTTAGATTCAAGTACCCAGTGTGAGCGAAAGAATTGTTGAGAAATGTATGTGTGAAACACCAATTTTATCAATTAAAGTCATTTACTTTTCCAGCATTTTACTTGCTTTTCTCCTTTAAATTCCTGTCGAACCTTTACTTTAAAGCCTTGTTTATTTTATCAAGCCTTTCCCTTATGCAATTTACTTGAAACCTTTAATTTAAAGCCTTATCCACCTTAATCAAACTTCAAAATCAACCTATGTCCATAGGATCAATCTGATCGATCCTGCGAGTAACCAAATAAGTAACCATTTGGAGGATCAGCGGTTGTTTACCAAAACCCAAGGTAAACAGATACGTCTACGTTAAAAATAAGAATTCTAGAACAAACATTATAAATTTTCTCGTAATGAAATGATTGTTAATATACACGGATAGTGTTCTTGAGTATGGGGAAATAATCAACACTAAAATGACTTAATCATAGAGCAAAACGCCTAAAAAAACCAAGGAACTTCAAAAAAGAAAACAGAAAAACTCCAAAAGTTGCCCTGAGTTTGGGGGAATTACACTTGTAACCCATAATTATGGGGAGGCCATAATTCCTTCTGAGACAAAAATAGGAATTCATGTCAGGAGAAAATTACGACCATAATATCTTATTACGAGTTTAACATAATTTCCTCTTCTTTTTTCCACTATAGTGTTTTATTTTAATGATCGTTAGTAACAAATTCCATATAATTAGGGTGCCTGAAACACAAAAAAAAAACTGAGAAATTTGCCTTGTACTTGAGGGAGGAAGTTATGGGTAAATCCTCATAAACAATTCATTTTTTCTTATCGATGCAAGTTGTTACGGTCAGGCGTCGGAGGGATACCTTTTAACTCTCTTATGCCGAAATCGGCAACTATTAGAAGTAAGAAGTGTTTAAGATTATGAAAATATGTACCTTGACTTCTACGGTTTTAGAGACCTTGAACCTTATGTGTAGAATTGTTGCCCAAAAAGAGTTGTCAGAATACCATTTGTTTTGTGAGTTGACAGTCTCATTTCAACCATATCCCTTAATTTGATATTTTTCAAAGGAAGGTCCACACATATTTTCGAGGGGATATTCTTGATCACACCTCCAATACTCTCTTAAAAAAATATTTTTTAATATTTTAAAAATGGCAAAATATTCTTTTTGGTCCCTTAAATTTACCTCGGGGTCCATTTTGGTCCCTTATCTTAAAAAAGTTCCAAAATGGTCCTTTAATTGTTCAAAAAGGTCCATGTTAGTCATTTTTGTCCAATTTTCTAAAACGACATCAACTTTTGCTTAGGTGGTATCTGTCGTGGCACTTGGTCACACGCGTGACATGTGAGATCATTAAATACCCAGAAAATTTCTAAAAAATTTTGTTGTAGCCAAGATTCAAACACAGACACACTTGCTTCATTTACAACATATTGAACCACTACACCATTCACACTTTTCTGATTTTGTTTACAAAATGCTAATATATTCTACCCAGCTTTTGTTCATCATCTTCCCATCAATATATATTCAACCCAAAACATAGTATGAAAGGCTTATTTGCAAACTGTTCTATATGAGAATCAACATGTAATAACAATATCAAACATTGAATATTTCCAAAACTAGTATTATAGTATTGAAACGTACACCAACACGCAAATCAAAGTCAAACTTAATAATTCTTTAAACCAGGTCAACTGTGACTTGGAGTATATCTCAGTAATTAGGCACGTGAAAAATAGATCAAAGTAATAAATACTTTACCTTTTTTATAAATGGAAGCTGAAATAAATTCAGGTCCGATTTAATATTCTGCATTAAGCAAAATAAAATTATGAATAGTTTATCAAACATTGAAATTCAATTATAATGAGATTGAACGGTACAGAAAGTGAGCCAATTTTTTTCAACTCTAAAATGATGATTTGAAAAATTAACAAGAACAGATCTGAAAAAATATCAAATGGGTTGTTGTTTCATCTTCATCAATCAACAAGAAAAGATCTGGAAAAATTACAAATCTGAAAAATTAACAAGAACAAATCTAGAAAAATACCAAATGAATTGTTGTTTCATCTTCATCAATCAACAAGATTGATGTCAACAACAAGTTACAAAAATGGAAAAACAAAGTTGTGTCATTTTGTTTACTTCTCAATTCTGCTACCTAAAAGGGAAAGTTGTCATAAAATTGATATTTGGTATGTCTTTTTTTGTGTTGCAGGTTTAGTCCTTTCAAGGGATTATAACATTTTTCTTTGTAATTTGGTTTTGGAGGAGTAGTGGAGGTGGTAATAGAGTTTAAGGAGAAAGAAAATAGTTACTTTTTATTGTGTGAATCCTTCTAATATAGATGGTTTATGATCACGTTGACACCATATAATTTTGATGAAGCCCAAAAGTGTAGCTTTTGATAGAACTTCCTTTTACATTTTATTTTCTTAATTAGAACTTCCTTTTGCAAGCATGTCATCTGGGAAAAGTTCAGTGGCAAGTTTCCAAGGAACACCTCTATTTGTATCAGGAGGAGGAGGAGCAGGGGAAGATTTAATTTTGGTTCAGTACCTTATCAAATGGGTTGTTGTCAACAACAAGTTACAAAACTAGAAAAGTTAATGGGATTTTAGGTTTTTTTATATAATTAATCTGGAAAAATTAATGGGATTTTTTATATAATCACAAGCAGATGTACTTGAGGAAGAAAATGGAGTTGTTGGGTTTGTCTATGGGTAAACCAGAAATAGTTTGGGATGAAGAAGATACAAAAACATATTACAATATGCTTAATATGTAACTAAATAACAAAAAAGGAGAAGTGTCTAAGTGGTAAAGAGATATGCTCAATGATTAATGTAACTAAGGTTTGATTCTTGTGAAAGTAAAATTTCTTTTGGAATTCTGATGAGCTTGATAATATCATATTGAAAGAGATTTTTAAAGATAAGGGGCCAGAATGGACCCCGATGTAAACTTAAGGGAACAAAAAGGATATTTTGTCTTTAAAAATCATAATATTTTAAATTAAAATTTTCAAAAAAATTATTACTTTTAATATCTATTCATAATTTATTAAAACTATTTAAAAAAATAAAGGAAGCACCTTTTATAAAATAAATTTACAAATATTATAAAGGATTAGGATATTTAGAGCAGTTTAATATATCATAGGTATTTCAAGAAGTTTTCTAGTTACAATACAAAAAAGTTAAGTACTATAATTTAGATCCAAATCATGGATGAAGTAACATCATCTTAGTGAGTCACAAGTCTCGCTCACCCCAGCCATGAATCAAGCTTAACTTTTATTAGTGGGTTTGTGTCTCTTCCTCATCTGCTATAAGCTAAAGACATAAGTTTTAATTAAAACAAACTTCTAAAGAGAGGTGTTCCCCCTTCTCTCTAATTTTTTCCCTCAACCCTATAAGGTTTGATGGTTTCCTCCCACCTCCATGGTGGCCTTCTTATTCCACTTTTATCGTGGCCATTTCCCCCTCTTTTGAGAATACTTTTCTCTCTACTCATCTTCATTTCATGTCCTCACCATACATTCCCACCCTCCACCACGAACAAACCGCTAAGGCTCCCTTTCTATTTTTGCAGTCGCCACTGCCACCAAAAAACGACAAGTTTGTTAAGAGTTTTTTGCACACCTCAAACTCAACAATGGTGGATGCACCTCTCTCCATTGTAATTGCTCCTTCGATGTTGATAATTTGTCCACCCCTGAAGTCGTCATGGTTATTTTACACTATAATATTATTTCTTCTATCAAAGTTGTTTAATTTTGTTTATGTGTTATCTGTCTTTTAGGGGTTAAGGATGCACTCTGGGTGTTTGACAAAATGCCTCAAAAGTGTTTTGGGTCTTGTAGGATATTTATGAGTGTCTATTGGGATTTCATAGTAACTAAGGAAGCTTATGTGTCCACATCCATTCAAACTTTATCTCTAGTTATATATTAATTTGTGAACACTCGAGAAGGTTGGCCATATTGAGACTATAGATAATCAAAATGTGCAAACATAAGTCAAAGAAACTATCTGTAATTGGATTTGAAAAAAAAAAAGTGGATTCTCACTCTCACATTATCATTAATTGTTGCAAGATAATAGATTGTTAGATGAAATATTGTTGTTTTCGCTTTGATTGTGCCTTAGCTTATGAATAATATATGTGCATAATATATCTCTTATGACTATGTAATATTTTCTTATATGTAATATTTTCTCTTAGAATTACTTCTAGAGTAGGTATGCATATATACTATTCTCAATTGCCTTACAATATATGTAATTCTTGTTAGTTGGGCTATTAATGAAGCTCAATTTTTCTATAAAGAAACATAAGTTTTAATTTACTTTTTCAAATCTATATCACATTGATTAGAACTAAAGAGAGTTCTATGAAAATATTTAAAATATACTAGTAATGTAACAATAGACCAAAGAAAGCAGAAATTGAAAGGCAAATTCTAGTTTTATCAATCGATATATGTTAACAAAATTAAACTAAATGTTAAATATATATACGACATTAATTATTATAACATCTAGGTTAAAATATGTTTATGACAATAATTACTATAATTAAATTATGATTCGCGCGATATATGATTTTTTGCGCATACATATATATATATATATAATTTTTCATTTTGTAAATATGAGAAAAGAGAGAGAGAAATAATAATAAAATAAAATTTAAGAAATTAAAATATTTTATGGATTCACTCTTATTTAAAATGTCTATAAATTAAAACATAAAATAAATTATAATGGTTGCAATAGAAAAGACAAAAGTGTAAGTAGTTATAGTTATTGTCTCATAGTATATGAGTTTTATATTGAATTGTCAATTGAATTGATCTTAATTTCAATGAACATTCTTTAAATAGATATGAATCACAGCTTCAAAATCTTCCATATTCCACTTTATTTTTATCTTTTTCATGATGAATCATTAATGACTTGTACATTATAAATGATTAAAAACAATATTATAAAAAATAATAAATAATTACCAATTTCTATTATGAAGATTGAGTTATTTCAATTGGAGAATTTTTAACGACATGTTTCCTTGTTATTTTAAGTTCTGCAGAAATTGCTAATGAACATATATGAATGACAGCTTCAAAATATTGAGATCAACTGGTTCAATTTTTTTGTTATTGTCTAAATTTAAAATGAAATATTTTACTTATAATCTTTATCTAATAAGAAAAATGTTGAAATTGCATATTACTATCCACTCATTTTTATGTAATTTTTTCTTATAATCTTCATTAAAGATACCATAAAAATATTATTTTAATAGGTCTATTTTAATTTTTTTATTGAAAAAAATTTTGATATCCAAATTTTAAAAAAATAATTTAATTTTGAAGTTATTTCAAATAGATTTTTATAAAAATTATTTTTTAAATATAATTTTTTAATTACAATTTTGACTATATTTTAGCATTCAATAATGCATATTTATGTTATAGGATATCAAAATTAATATTTTAATTTAGAAAAAATAAATATTTAAAAATTTTAATATTTTAAAAGTGGTTTTATAAAATCTATTTGAAAAAATACAAAAATAAAAATTTATTTTTCAATGTTGAAACAAACAGACTCTACTTCATGAAAAAATTAAAAAAACTAAATCTTAAAAACGAGAAGAAAAATAGAATTTGAGTTGATGAAAGTTTTTATGAGATTGACATAAAACTAAGATTTTATTTAGAATGGTCATTATGATAATCTAAAATTTATATTAAGTAGATATCTAGGTCACATACAGTTCTACTGATAAATTATAGAGCAATTGTATTTTTAATAGAAGAATTTAATGAAGTCGGTGTTTGACTTATGTCAAATATTTTATTTATATAAATACTAATAGTCATCCTAAACAAAGTACACCATCACTGCCTTATTGTCTTCTTGGTTTCTAAAGTTTCACTATTCTTGTCACAAACTTTATTTCATTCTCCTACAATGAGTTTTTCTCACCGAATGTGCGTCTTAGTTTAAGGGTTCTTGTAGTTGATCATGACACAAGTATGTGTGTTAGATGTAATTACCAAGGTTTGTCTCACATCTAAATTATTCCAAAAAGTGTCTTAAACTTTCTGGAAAAAATTTCACTTTTATGTGTTTGTTTGTTTCAATTACGATACGTTTAAAATTAATTAAATTTTTTTTTTTAATTTATAAAATTATTAAAACAAAATAAAATCTTTTTAAGTTAATTTTATAATGATAATCATGATAAAAAAACGATAAATAGTATTCATGAAAAAATATGTTAAATGATATACAAGAAAAAAATAATGATAATGAAAAAAAATTTATTTATATAAAAACAATAATTAAAAAAATAATAAAAATACAAATTTAAAAACTTATATCAAGTTATGAAAATTATAAATGTAGAAATAATAATTAAAAAAATTATTGTATGTATAAAGATTAATAAGTTTAGAAATAACTAAAAAGAATAATAATAAAAAATGATTAAAAAACTTTCTATTTAATAAACGAGACTGTCAAATTTATAGGCAAAGAAAAAGAATAATAAAAATATTTAATAAAGAAGGATATCAAAAAAGAAATAAAAAATTAATAATATTAATGTAATTACTCTACTTATGAAATCTTTTTATAAGATGATTTTAGTCCTATAAAAATAATTCAATCAATTAAAAATGATTTTTATAAATTTATTTAAAAAGTATCATAGACGAAAATATTATATATATATATATATATATATATATATATATATATATATATATATATATATATATATATATATATATATATATATATATATATATATATATATATATATATATAAAAGAAAAAGAAAATATTTAATTCTTTCTAATTTAATATGATTTATTTTTATTTTAAATCTAATCGATTAAAGTAAATATTATTTAATATTATATCTGATTTTCATTTAATGTTTAAAAATTTAAGTTTTTAAACATCATTTTATTTTTAGTATTCAAAATTTACGTGATTGTTGTTATTGAATTTATTTAAGTTTTTTTTTAATATACGTAATATATTAATTATAATTAAAATCAAAATTAAAATGTAATAAATTATATTAAAATTTTAATTTATCAAAAAATATTAATATTTTATTATGATAAAACGTTATTATTTATATTAAAAAAATAATATGAATATTTGTTTTTGATAAAAAAAACATGAGACAATTATGATAGAAAAATACATAAATTTGTTTTAAAAAAAGATAAATTTATTATTCTTTTCATATTTCTATAATAATGTATTGTCATTTTATTTAATTAATACACATACAGTTTTATCACCGCATAAAAAATGAGTTTTGTCTCTTCAAAAAAATGTAAAAAGTAATATACATTAATTATAATTATTATGATTTTATCTATTTGATAAGTGGACAATAATGGACAAGAGCTATTGTTTAAATTTTTATTATAGAGTCATAAATATGTAAATTAATATTTCAATTATGTTAATGAAATAAATATTTTAATATTTTTATTTAAAACGATATTGCGCAACCTATATGACCGTACGAGTAGATAACTACTTAACTATTTCTTTTATTTTTTCTACTAAAATATGCAATTTCGACAAGCCGGCACTACTTTATCTTTTGTATATATTTTTTAACTATTACTATATTATATTTATTTACTATTTATAACGATATTGTGTGATCCGTGCGAACGCAAAAATTTCTAATTATTTTATTTATTTTTCTATTAAAATATACATTTTTGACGGGTCGACACTATTTAATCGATTATATATATAGAGTGTACTACATCACATATTCATATATTTTTCAACATAATAATTTCTATGTACATCGGACAAATATTATAATTTACTAAATTAAATTAATATTTATACGATAATCATCGTTAAAATATTTTTTTTATTAATTCTTATATGTTTATATTTTTTTTAATTATAACTATATAATATTTATTTTATATTTATATCGACTTTATACAATTAGTTGGCGCATATCGGTCTATTACTGGTTTTATTTATATAAATACTAATTGTCCATCGTAAACAAAGTAAAACATCACTCTTCTTAGTTTCTAGAGTTTCACTATTCTTCTCACAAACTCTATTTCATTCTTCTGCAATGAGTTTTCTCACCGAATTTCTCCATGGTTACCAAGGTTTACTAATATCTCACATCTAAATTATACAAGAAACGTGGCCTAAACTTTCTGGAAAAATCAACATTCCAGTCATCAATAAGAAAACAAAAAACACTTCTTGAATGGGCTTATTATGATATTAATTAAGCCTTTGAGTGAAGGTCAAATCGAGAGCATATGACAACATGTTGTAAGAAAAGTTTTAAAAGAAAACAATCAGCATGATCAAGTTCTTGAAATTTTGAATGCAAAAGGGTTGAAAAAAAGGGAAAGAGATGATTATTATGCACCTACTTCTTGTGTTGTTGGAAAGGAAAATGATGATAACGTTAATAACTATCGACCCTCAATAAAGAAGAGTCGTTTGTCATGATCACAACAATTGCATCAACAATTTTTATGGGCGGTGAATCAACTCGGCATTGACGGTAAGAATTTTCAGTTAATTATTTTTCTCTTGTTTCATTGTAAATATTTGAAGAAGCTCACTTGTGTCATTTATTTTTTTAGATACAAAGCCAAGAAAGATTATTAAACTCATGAATGTTCCTGGTTTGACAAGGGAACAAGTTGCTAATCATCTACAGGTGTGGTTTTCATTTTGTTGCATTAATGTGATTTGATTGATTTTTTTACTTCATTCTTATGACTGTTAAATACTAATTAATATTATAATTGAAATATTGATTGGCGGAAATTAAGACTTTGTTTGAAGAGATAAACAGAAGAGACAGATGTTAAGAATAGAAAGCCTAAAGTTGGAAAGAAAAAATCAAAGGTGGATGAATTTGATTTACAAACTTTGACTACTGATATTGCTGTTAAAAGTACTGTTCCTAATGAAACATCATCAAATCATGAAGTTGTTAACTCAATGCCTAATTCAGCTATGAAGTGTGACAACATCTCCAGTGCACAACCTTTGAATACTGACACTGCAGTTCAAAATAATGTTCCTAATGAAACATCATCAAGTCTTGAAGTTGTTAACTCAATGCCTAATACATCCATTGAGTGTGACAGCATCCTATGCACAACCTTTAACCACAATTAAGGATTATGAATTTTTTTCACGCGCACCCAGCACACACACAACTCACACTACACACACACTACTCACACTACACACTAAATTGTACTTTCATGAATTTTTTTTTATCATTACTCATTATTTTTTTAATTTTGACTTATTTACTTTAACAATATTTTTTTATGATGTTTGATTAATAGTTATTTTTTACTATTTCAATTAAATACAAAATAAAATAATTTTCCTAAAAACCTATTTTCGAATATCATGTTTATTTGGTATATGAAATAGCCACTAAGATAGAATTACATAACTAAATTGACTGTCATTTTATCATTTTAGAGATGTTGCCATTTTCTAAATTTGAGAAGCAACCTAACTGCCTCCTACAACTTTAGGTATCCAAATGGAGTTTCACACATCATTTTGAACACACAATTGGTGAAGAACATTTTTTGTTTGATGTTGAAAATTTTATATAAACATGGTGCTCAGTAACTAATATACGAAATGCCTAAAATTGAATCATGACGTGTTGGCCAAAGACTGTCATATTTTATTGCCTTCCCCTTCAAGCCATATTTTGTGTGCTTTCCCTTTCACCAATGTAGCTAGTATCATGAACTAGTTTAGTCCCTTGTTGTTCAGCTAACTGAAATTCATCACTTATTCCTTTAATAATAACCTGCAATGCAAACCAATAAAGCAAAGTGTGGTAGCATTCTAAATCTTAATAAAATGTCATAAAACTGAAGAGGTTTAAGTTCATTGGAACAACTCCTAGTCCTATAACCATTATGAAAGTATTTACCTTAAAAAAAACTTTCATATTCTGCTTATATCACGGCCGAAAACAAAAGTTGTAGCCCAGTTAATAGCTACATAGAATCTGTTCCTCCAGCTAATGACACGAGTTAGATATGCCGAGCGCCAAACAATCCAACTTGTAAAACCTGCCAGAGACAATCCTTTTGCCTCCTGTAGGAGATAAGTTAGTGAATCAAATTGTTATGAGTTTTTCGAAGCACAAAAAATAAAATTAAAGACCTCTTGGCCGAGCACAGATTAGTCCAGTGGCATCTTTCTCTCTTATGCTAAGAGTGAAAACCAAAAAAGCACCAACAAAAGGTTAAGAAATGAAAGAAATCACCTTGTTCTGTCTTAGGTCTACTAGAGCCTTGTAACTGCCAACAGTTGCCATGCTTCCTAAGTGCTTGTAAACAAACTGACCCCCTAAGTCCAAGTCTTTCATGCTGTTTGCGTGGCCTCCATTGACTTTACCTACTTTGTTTAATAAGCCTGCCAAGTATTTACCTTGCCTCTCTGCTACCTGTGGTATTCAAACGGCAATATATTAAGTTGACATGGATAAGGTTTCAGGCAAATACATTAACCTCTACCAAGTATAGAAAGTAACACATTCAGAATGGAATGTGTTCAGGGACTAAGTAAAATGTCTATAGTGACAAACACTTATGAGACTGAACTCTGGTAACAGCTTATGAGATGTCTATAAGTTGTTTTCAGCTTATTTCTGTAAACTCTTCAGGATAGCTTATGAAAACAGCTTAAGCTTATTCAAAAAACAGTTTGACATTATTTTACATATTTTCATAGAAACAGCTTATATATAAGCACTTATGTCATAATAGTTTAAGTAAACTTTTTATCTAAACAGGGCCTAAGTCCTTAGTGTTGAACTAAAACCAAAATTACATATGAACAGAATTCAAAAATTTAAAGTGTGAGTTGGAGAAACTAATGAAACCAATGTAAGTTACTTGGGCTAGAGCAGGAAGTGTTGGTTTTCCTGTACTTTCAACAAATCCACAGCAGTCACCTATTGAGAAGATATCTTGTACTGAAGGAACACGAAGCCACTCATCAATGCCAATCCTGTGGTAGGAGAATTTTTCAGAAGTTTTACTTAAGATAATGTTGCTTAAAGTTACAGTTATCGTGCATTACAAGAAGGGTCAGATCAACTGTGCATCAAGTACAAAGGAAACTTTCAATCCAACATTTAAATTAGAATGTATCTTATAAAAAGTTATTCTTTGACTTGAGATTATTTTTTATCTGTATCAACAGAAACTTGCTGTACATAAATACTTATACAAAATAGGATTAGAAGAACGAATATATTTGGACTACCATGATCCTGCTTTCCGGATAATACAGATCCAAATACTAAATGTATCCATACAAAAGTCAGTTGCAAATTGTAAATTTTGCAATGGTTGTCAATGGAAAGAAAATAAATGCAAGTACTATGTTGAGTAAACAAACCTTCCACCAGGAGATTTAGGGAGATCCAATGAGTGGATAATAGGTGATGGACCAACTCCAGTAGACCATACTAGCAGCCCGTATGGAACCTCAGTACCATCGTTTAGTATAATCTTCTTTTCTTCAACATCTTTCACAATGCCACGAACAAGTCGAACTCCTGACTGATAGAAATTTCAACATGACAAAAGGAACATATTGAAGAAACAGTAAAGAAGCTTTTTCATGTAATTCAGAAGTTCAAAATCAATAGGAACATGTTGAACAAAAAGTAAAGAAGCTCTTTGGACATACAGCTCACCTTTGTCAACTGGTTGGTGGCATATTGCCTGAGTCGGACATCAAAGGAAGACAATATCTCATTGGCCTAAAGAGGCATGAACAAATTGGTTAACAACACAAATAAGTACCAACTTTGACATGTTAGTTTCAGTGTCGTATCTAATGTCTGTGTGAGTGCTTCAACGTCACTCTATTTCAACACAAATAAGGTTACACTTGGTATACCTCAATCAAAGTAACATGGATATAGTCCTTCACATGAGCATATCTCTGACGAACATCTCTCATAATAAAGTCACTAAGTTCACCGCTAAATTCAACTCCAGTGGGACCACCTCCCACAATCACACAGTGTAACAGCCTTTTCTTTTCCTCTTCCGAAATCCCTGCATCCATATCAAATACATATTACAGAGGTAATGCATAACAAGGAATTTTTTTTTTAACATAGGAAAAATTATCGCAAACCTGGAACCTCAGACATCATCAAATTCAGGAGCAATTTCCGACGAATTTCCTGTGCATGGTAAACTTCACGAAGAAAAATTGCATGTTCATGAACTCCGTGAATTCCAAAAGTGGTTGGTTGCGCTCCTAATGCAATTACTAGCTTATCATAGGATACTGTAAACTTCCAAGGTTCGAGTGTCTGTGTTCCTTCAGTTACAGTCTCACATTGCACCTTCAGAACAATGTCAGATTCTGCCAAATTAAGCTACATTTACCAGAATTTGAGCTAATACTAGCATCACACACTTTTGTTTGTTGTAGTTTACTGGAGGAAGAGCCTTTTAAGAAGACTAAGAAAGAGAAATAAAAACCAGAAAAGAGATGATGCTTCATTCTCAGTTTCAATACGAATTGTAACATGATGCTTTATGCAAAGTAAGATACATAAAGCAGAACCCACAACAGTATCAAGGCTATGCTATTCAGTTTTATACATGAAATCTACATTTTCGAAATATTTCAAGTAAACTATTAGGAAGCAGTTTGTAGTCAACAAGCCAAATAGCTATGGAATGCAGTCAAAAGTTCAACACTCTTCCTGGTTTGGCATGCTGAATACTGCAGTTTCTTTCTTAGCTGCAAAAATTTGGTCCTAGAAAATAGTTTTGTATGAATGTCAGCCGGTTGATGTTTTGATTTACAGTGTTGAATGGAAATCCCTCCATAATTTTCAGCTTCCTTATATAACTGTATTTGATCTATACATTTTTAACATGAAAAACAACATTTTTTAATTCCAAACATGAAATATTCCATTTCCACATGCTCAACATTGATGTCAATCACTAAAATATCTTACACATAAAGAAATGATGATAAGTTCATTGTTTGTGTTCTTACAGTAAAAAATTTGTTTAACATTGCTATTGCTAGAACTTAGAGTACTAGATACACATTAATTTTTTCATACTATGCTCGGGAGCTTGTTTGAGACCGCATAAAGTGTGGTTGTTGTTCAAGATAAATTTATTTATAAACGGTTGGGTATGTCCTTTGGCTACACTTTGTTTTTTTTTTTTTAAATTAACACACATTCTATATATGTTTGTGCTCTTTGCAATATCGGCATTTAAACATAACTTCTCCAAATGATTGGTCTTTTTGTAATTGGGACATGGAGGAAATTTTCCGTTCTTATCATTAGCAACCTTTTTGTTAACTTCCACTCCATTTTTGCATGTCCTTCTCTGATAATTGTATTTCTTGCTTACAGCACTTTGCTTCGGATAGTGCTTAGCCAAAAAGACTCCTTGTTGATCCACACTCTCTAGAGTCTCCCTTGTTCGGTTACTTACTATGATAATGACATTTCAGAATTGTCTATTGAATTCTCCAAAGAGACAACTTTTTACTCTAACCTCTACGGCAGGCTTGTTAACGTATACTCCATGATTCTTTTATCAGAGTTCAACACCGATGATCCGATTCTTGGTCAGACTCGCAATCTTCATCTTGCCAGAAAAATCTTTGATCATTTCATTATATTTAACTTTAAGTGGTTTAAACTCCTTCCTAAGGCTTAAGACCTGCATACACTTCTCCTCTGGTTCCCATGAAATACCTTCTTCTACCTGTCCCAAGCCTTTTGATAAGATTGAAACTATAAGGATAGAATTAAAGATGATATTAACTCTGGATATTTGGAACCAGAAGGAGAATTGTCCCTGCTATACTGAGTGTATGAGCACTAATGTTTTCCCTTAGCTAATTGTACGCTATGATGTTTGACTTGGGCACCAGTTATGTTTTATGGGAGTGGTGGAACATCATTCACTATCCCGCAAAGGCAGTAACATATTTCTTCATCCTCCATAACAGTTTCGGAAACATTTTTCTTTTGCTTTCATCTATCTTTAGCAATTGAGCTTCTCTCCATCTGATCTACTCTCAATAATACAGAATCTACAGGTTTCCTCCATATATGTCCAAACCAACTAAGCCTTTGAATGAAACATCTTTTCTACAAAAGATGTTAGCACAACTCTCTCGAGTATTGTCATTCCTAATCTTATCTTGTATCGTCCAACACTCTATCCCATACAACATTGCCGGTCATATAACTATATGATAAAATTTTCAATTTAGCACTAGTGGTACCTTTTTAACACATAAAACACTTGCAACCCTTCCCCATTTCACCCACTCCACTTGAATCGGATGGTTAACATCTTAATCTAAAGTTAGAAGGGGACAAAAAGCAGAAGTTGGTCACTTTACAGGGAAAAAAACACATTTAACCTAAATGTTATGACTTGAAAAGTCTCTAAGACAAAAATCAATACATACTTATACCTTGATTGCTAATTCTGATTCTTAGATTTCAAACCTAACTCTGCAAAACAAACTTTTTAAGTAAGAATTACTCAATCTGTTCAAAAACAAAGTAAGGATCACTCAATCTTTCTAAACTCTATTTGTGCCATAACTTAAGCAACATGGGATTTGAGGTTTTCTTCAATAATGTCTTCCAACTAAAGAACTTACAATGTTACAATGAGTAATTTCAGAACCAAACTAACAAAAGAAAGAACTATGAATCACGGACACCGGAAATATGACACCGACACTTACATGTCAACACTGGTAATAATTTGAAAAATAAATAAATAAAACATAATCACAAGTGTCGTGTGGGTTTCAGACACGGACACAAAGTAAATTTTTTTCAGAGGTGTCAAAACCTTTTTTCAGAGATGTCGGTGTTTCAGAGTAAAAGACACATTCTAAGCTCTTTTTTTCCCAAGCTCCTACATTATAGTATATATGCAGTCCCTCAGATCAAACATGCCATGAAATTGAAAACGAAAAATAATCAAACATCTCATAGACATGTACAAAGATGTTCATATACACAAGGAAAGAAAAAAAGAGATACCTCATGTTTATCAGCATTGATGCCGGTACAATTAGCAAGGAAGAAAAAAGAACCCGGTTCATTAGAAATAGCAGGTTGAATTCTCGCAATAGGTTCAGCAACAGATCTAAACTCAAGAGTTCCAACACAAGTGGAAGCTAAAAGAGGGGTGAAAACCATATGATTACGAGGTGAAACACAAACGATATCATAGATTCGAGAATCCAAGCCTTTCATGAATCTACACCCGGCCCAACCGGTCCCGAGAACCACCACGCGTGGCTTCTCGTGTGGCTTGGTAGGTCCGAGAGCCGCATAACGAACCGGAGCGGTGGAATCGGTGGTTGAGGAGAAACGAGAGAGAAGAGTGAGAGAGGGGAAGTGGTGAAGTGGTTTCGTGGTGGAGAAGTAACGTTTAGAGAGGGTTCTAAACAAAGACATGGTAAGTGTTTGTGTTTATGTCTGAGAGAGATGAAAATTGATGAGTGTAAGAAGAAAGAAGAAAAAAAGTTTTGATTCCAAAGATGTGGGCGGGTAGATGAGATGAGATCAGATTGAGTTGACTGATGATGAAAATGTTACCACCTTTGTTGGGCTGCTTGTCTGCTTTTGTGGGATCTGATGATGTAATGAAATGAGATTGTTGACATTGTTTGTAGTACTTTGAATATTCATGAATACATCACCAGTCATCACGTACTTTCTTGTACTGTGTTGTTAATGGTGCTCCTAAAAATGGTTTTTTTTTTATTTTAATTTTATTATGGAATTGTATTTTCTTTACCAAAAAATGGAGTTTTATTTATTAAAAATTATATTAGTGGATGAATTTGATTTTGTGCATGTATTGTTATTTTGTTATTGTAGAACATTTTTAATGAAAATTAGTGTAAAGGTTTATCTATACATGTAACTACATAATTGTGTTCCTTTATTTTGTGATATATAGTTAGAGTATTGGATAAATATAGAAAGACAAAAGTATACATACATTTTATTATATAAATGTTGATAGAGAGCTATTTTAGAAACTAATTTAATATAACAATATAATGTTTTTTGATTTAAAATATTTTGGATTTTTTTTAATGAACCAAAGAGGAAAAAAAAATCAAAAGTTTTTAAAATTTATTGTTTATGGAAAAAGATCAAAAGTTAGAGAGAAGTTAGAAGTTGTGATTATCTAAATATGAGTATCTCTATAGAAAGGAAAATAGTTATTTCGCCTCTGTCATATTAGTGAGGTTTGAAAAATATTCCATAAAAAAAGTTTAGATTTTCCCCTTAACATATTTGGATGTTGTTGTTTTGGTCTTTCCTTCCACTCACTCAGCAAAATCTTCATTATTTTAATTTTTAATTTTTTAATTTTTTAATATTACTTCTTTAATAGAATCATACGTGGCATGGTAAAAATGTTAAGCATGTATTAAAAAGTCAGATTTATGATTAGAAAATACTTAATTCCAAAGTGAACTCAAATCATTAAACTTAGGTTAAATAACCATAATCTTCTTCTTCATATTCCGCAAAGATAATCTTATCTTTTTCTTTCTTCAAGCATCACCGACTGAAATTGTACCTATAATATTTCTCCAAGTATCGCCGGCTCAGATTCTACCTCTAACTGAAGCATTATCGTGTTCATACCAACACCTTCATCCTCATGGAAGAAAGCTCGAACACAAGTATTCTCTCAAATGGAAGAATAAGTCCCAAATATGGACACGACCTCCCTATGAAAATGTTTGTTTTTAAATCCAGAGCAAACTCAGGGAGGAAATACTGAAAGTGCAAGTACTAGGGGATTAGATTTCTTAGCTTTTCGATTTATATTTTCTTTGAGTTAGATCGATTAAAAATAAATGTAGTGTAATATTATTTTGTGTTTGCGGAAAGAAGAGGGTTGTGAGTTGTTTCTATGGGATGATGAGTGTTTTAGAGTCGACAAAATAAAGAAAACCCTGAAAGGTGAAGATCGATCATGTAAGTGCAACATGGTGTTAGAGAATACCAAGCATGTTATTAAGGAGATGGAAGACATGAAGAAAACCAATCACAACACTAGGCGGGAAATTATATTTGTGATAGTAGTTGTTGTCTGTTACTAATTGTTTTATGTTATAGGTTTAGGAAGAATGTAACATTGGGCATGGAAATTGTTCAATGTTGTATTTTGTTCAATATAATAAAATGGTGTACTTTCTTCAATGTGACAAAATATTGTTTTGTGATTTAAAGGTTCAAATGTTAATTCAAAGGTTCAAATGTTAATTTAAAGGTTCAAATGTTAATTTAAAGGTTCAAAAGTTTATTGTGTTCAATATATTGTAGTCCATAACAGACAAAGCATACATAATTTTAGGACTTAATCATATTACTGGCCACATCATATCATGGAAACAACAAACATTAATGTAAATCAGATTTGTCATAACATTCCCAATTTTAACTGAAATGCCATATCATTTTGGAATTACATGGACATAACCGAGTAATTCAGTTTGACATTACAAGTAGAACAAGGCACCAACATGTGCATTACAAGTAGAACAAGGCACTAACATATGCATTACAAAATAACTATCCAAAACAGGCACTAACATGTGCTTACAAAGTAACTATACCAGTTTTGTAATTACAACCTAATAGCATCCAAAATAGGCACTAACATGTGCATTACAAGATAACTATATCAGTTCTAACATTACAACATAGTAACATCCAAAATAGGCATAAACTTGTGCATTACAACTCTTCAAGCATCACTGGAACATATTACGTTCAATTTCTGCCCATGACTTCAATTTACCTTTCTTTGGCTTCTTTGGTTTGTTTAGTGGTATAAATGGTTCATAAACGGGTGTGGGATTGCACACTTGGGACACTTCTTCTTGGTTCAGCATTGCTTCAATGACATCATCTATTTCAGGATCATCATAATTATCAACGGGTACATTTGCAGTAGGTACATTGTCAGAAAGTGAATTTCCAATAGGTACAGTGTCAGTAGGTGCATTTGCAGCAGGTACAATGTTAGCAAGTGCATTTGCAGTAGGTATAGTGTCAGTATCAACATTATTTGAAGGTGCAGATTTAGCATCAATATTGCTTCCCTTAGTTCTAGGGGTCATCCTCTGAAAACAAATAACACAAATTATAAACAAATAACACAAATAATTTATAGAATGTTATACCTTTCTTTTGAGTGCATTAGGGTTTTGTTCTTTGCTTTTTCATTTCCTTGAGTTATGACCAAACTGGTCACACTTGGTGCATCTATATGATATATCAGGCCTCCTTATTCTTGACCATGAGAACCGACCATCATAAGCACCCCATTGGAGGTTGAAGGAGTAGAAGAATAGAGGAACGATAACCCTTATTTGTAGATAATCGCACATAATCTCGAAAGTCCGCAAGAAGGCAATCTAATTAGGATGAAATTGCAAAGGAGCAAGGCAGAGATACCGAAAAATGGCCACCTGAAGGTCACTAAAAGGAAGTTTGAAATTCATATCCCGAAAGAGAATCTCATACATAGGAATGTGATCATGCTCGCACTCCGAACACACCCGGTGATCCGAATTAGGAATATATACATCCCACTCCTTCTCGGCGCCCTCTACTTACATCCCCGTGTCCACCATGGTAAACACTTCGTCTGTGTAATACGGTGGAAGAATTGACTTGGTTGTTTTGCGTTTTATCGCAATTGTTGTGGATAGCAAGAGTCACCACCGACTTTTCTTTTATCCAATAAGGAAAGGGTGAAAAGAACAGGAAATACCTTTGAGATATTTTCTTGAGTTCGGGGGGTAGGTTATGAAAAGGGAAGGTGTTAGCACCTTTTTCATCTGTAGTTATCTACGGGGTCTTAGTTGCTTGATCACTTTGAAAATGCTTTGTTTGAAATATGTTTGTGTTTTGTGCAAGTTTGAAAATATTTTGAAAACGCCTTTGTTGAGGAAAACTTTATAATGATTCTCGTCTCTATAAGAATGCATACAAAGTGTTGGTTTTGAAACTAGTTCAAAGAGATGTTTGTTTTTGAAGATGTTTTGAAAGTGTGAGTGTGGAGATGGTTTTAGTTTGTGAGCAAGCAACTACGAGCATCCTACCTACTCAAAAGGTCTTTGTTCTTTTTCTCCTCCTTTAGATGTTACTATCTTATCATTGATTGGTAAGAAGCCCCATCATCGGATGTGAAGGGACAAGCACAGGTCAATCGTACAGTCATAGAAGGTAACTTGTGAGACGCTTTAGCAATTTTCATAAGGGACTAGATCATTTATCAAAGGCAACATCGAGGGACATCTAGGGACTACGATCCTTTTTATCGAAGGTTCTTTGCTAAAGCGTCCCACATTCGAGGGACATGACTGTTTTTCCGAGGCAACAAGCGAGGTTACCCTAGAGGCGCGCGTGTGAAAGTGTGTTTGATTCAAGTTAATTTGTCTTTGATTAGGGTTGTCTAGCGGTTGATTTTAAATCTTATCATACACGCCTAATTACTATACAGTATAAAGGAAACAATAAATTGCAGAAATTAAAATTCTACGCTATTACAAAGCTTTCGGGAATGGGGAATACAAATTTACAAATGGGGATAGATCGAATCGACAATACGATAAAAAGTCTAAATAAACAAGCAATACAACCCAATCGAATTAGAACAATTAATTAAAACTACAAGAATCTATGAAGTAAAAAATTAATTAACAAAGTATGGAAATAAAAATTTTGGTATTTTTGTTTGTGAGAATTTGGAAAGAAAATAAAGAATCTATTCTATTATTCTTATTTGAATTTTATTATGTATAAATTAAATATCTCAAAAGAAAGTTTATTAAACTATATAAAAAATGTTGACAAAATTATTTACAAAGTCCTAAACTAATTAAGAAAATAACTTAATTTTGAAGTTATATATTTTTATTTAGTTAAATTTAAAAAATAATACTAAAGATTAATAAAATTAAATCTAAGCTAAGATTATTAAAATAATTTTAAACTAACCTAGAATTCTAAGTAATTAAGTTAAACCTAAACTAAGCTAATACTAAATTAAATATAACCTAAATTAATTCTAATATCATCTAAACTATACAAATTAAATCAAAATAAAAATTATGAAACAGAAAAATGAAATGAGGGTATGAAAACATACTGGGCTTGGGGTAAGGTCCAATTGTTTTATCCAACAAAGAAAATGAAACAAAACAGAAAATAAAAAAGAAATAGGAAAACATCCCCAGGGGGTCTCGTACCCGGGACCTCACCTCCAAACACCAACGCCTTAGCCACTGCACTATCTTGTTCATTCGTTATCTTTACAGTTTTATAAATACAAAAAAAATAAGAAATGGGTTGGGCCAAAAACTAGGCCCAAACCCGATTTGTTTTTAAGAGGAACATGGAGGGTTTTTGTAACCCTAAAC